TACTTTTCCAAAAGAAAGTAAAAATCCCAAAATACCCAGTTTTTTGCAAGTAAATTCTTAGGGATACGGGGTCCTACTTAACATTATTAAGAGAAGGACTGTTATCATTCCCCGCCAGATCTTATACGGGTTTCGACGCTCTGTTGGAAGCTTATGGTGGCTCCACTACGCGAGTACCCCTGTAACAGTTATATGTTGAAACTCCTATTTTTACAGGCTGGACGTCATCGGAGTGTCTCCAACTAACTTCCCCATAAAAGACGTAGACCTATTGATTGGGAACGACTTAGCGAAGAAGGAATATGGAAAGAGCCCATAGTTATGGAAATCCAACCGAGGAAAATTACGTCATCGAAGCCCGACGAACGGACCCTACCCTCTTTCCTCTGAGCGTAGTAACCCGGCGATGACCAAACAGTCGCGTTCTCAGTTGGCATCGGAGGAGTCCATGGACGGACGTCGACGTAGGAGTAAGAGACATATTCAACGAAAGCTCGAGTGTAGAGCCAACAATCCACCCAGAACCGATACCAGTTCCTAAGTCGGTGGTTTCCGAAATAGATTTATTCTCGAAGGAGGATCTAGTAAGAAACTCCGAATAGACCCCTCCTTAAGTGACCTCAGGAAGCTTGCTGTGTTGGGAGAAGAAGCCCTTAAAAGTGACAGCTCTTACTATTGGGAGAAGGACTTACTGAAAAAGAAACTAGGATCTCTTAAAAGTGATCATCTTACTGGTCTTGCCTACCCCGTTTAGAAATTTTAGCATGTAAGTTTGCTCATGACAGTCCTCAAGGTGGACATCTGGGACAAAAGAAGACTTTTAGAAAAATTGCTAAGCACTTCACATGGCCAAAAATGAAGGAAGAAGTGGAACGGTATGTAAGAAGCGTTCCGTGTGTCAACTAGTAGGCAAACCTGCACATAATCCACCACCTGCGCCGTTGAACCCTATACAAGTAAACAGGCGAACCCTTTTCACGTCTGGTGATCGACTGTGTCGGCCCGCTACCCAAGACTCGGCAGGGCAACCAGTTCCTGTTCACCATCATGGACACCGTCACCAGGTACCCGGAAGCAGTTCCTCTCAGGAGGATTAATGCTCGCCTAATTAGTGAGAGCACTGATTAAGTTCTTCTCTCACTTTGGATTTCCAAGAGAAGTTCAATCGGATCAAGGGTCGAATTTTACTCAAAATTTTTCCGTGAAGCTTGGCTCAGTTAGGGGTCAAGACGTTTACCGACGGCCTATCGACCCCAATCACAAGGCGTGTGGAAAGGTTCCATCAAACTTTGAAGATTATGATGAGGTCCTATTGTTTACAGTATTCCAAAGATTGGGATGAAGGTATTCCACTACTCTTGTTTGCCCTAAGAGAAAGCGAACAAGACAACTGAAGTTTTCGCCATTTGAGCTAATATATGGCATCAAATTAGAGGACCAGTACAGGTTCTCAAAGAAGCTTGGACCGGGGAAGAAAACGCCGACTTTTAGGAGCTCTCCTACCTTAATGAAAGAACGCCTGAGCCTAGCTAGAGAATTGGCCGCCGAAAACTTACGACAAGCACAGAGTAAGATGAAGGAGGGAATACGATCGTCGAACTAAACTTCGTTCATTTGAACCAAAAGATCAAGTTCTGTTCAACGATTTCATCAGGGACATGCTCTACAGCCCAAATTTTAGAAGGTCCTTTAGAAATCGTGGAAGCGCCTAAGTGACGTGAACTACTTGGTAAGGACGCCGAAGAAGAGGAACTCACAACGGACGTATCACATTAACCAACTTAAACCCTATTCAGGAATCGTTTCACCAGTTTCTACTATAACTCCTCTGAACCAAGAACGGGTTCCAGTAAGTTCGGATGAAATGATAGGAATACCAGTTTCTCTGAAACAATTCGACAGCCTTAAAGAATTTAAATTCTCTACTGATAATCTGGAAGTGGAACAAAGGACACGAAATAAAATCCCTGATTAAGGCAAATCTCCACCTATTCAATGACGTCCCAAAACCGTGTACGTTGGGTGTGCACGATGTTACTCTCAGAGAACCTACTCCAATCAAGCAATCTCCCTACATAGTGAGTCCCAAGAAACAAGGTGAGCTAGAGGCAGAGGTGAACTTCTTACTCTCACACGGTTGATAAAACCAAGTAACAGTCCTTGGGCATCCCCGTGCATTCTAGTCCCCAAACCAGATGGACCTCCCGTATGTGCACGGATTTTAGAAAAGTCAATACTGTAACAGTACCTGATGGGTTTCCAATACCCATAATGACGACTTAATAGACAAAGTCTCCAGAGCTAAGTATATCATAAATTGGACTTGTTAAGAGGGTATTACCAAGTCCCAGTTGTTCCACCAAGAGATCAAGAGATATCGGCTTTTACGACACCTGGTGGCCTATACAAGTATTGCGTTATTGCCTTCGGCTTCTGTAAACGCGGCCTCTACGTTCCAGCGTATTATGAACATACTTACGGGCGATTGGACGGATAAACCTTACATAGACAACTTAGTCTTATTACAGCGACAGTTGGCCCGCAACACCTTAGAAGACAGCTTAAAGCCTTGTTTAACGCATTAATAAACATAATTTTTACAGTGAATTTGTCCAAGTGTGATTATGGCCAGACGAAAATTAAATACTTATGGATTTCGATTGGACAAGGTGAAGTCGCTCCTTTGAACGCCAAAGTAAAGGCCCTCTTAGAATTTCTCTACCCCTAAGGATAGGAAAACGTTTCAAGATTTTTAGGAGTTTTGCCGTATAACTACGTCGGTTCTGTCCGAATTTTGCACAGGTCGCTTTTTTCCCCTAACTGAATTAAACAAGTCCAAAAACAAAGTTTTCCATTAGGACACCAGGACTGTGAAATTGCTTTTAAAATCGTTTAAAAAGATTACTATCCTCTCCCAGTATTACTAAGTCCTGATTTAATAAACCATCCACTTACAAATAGATGCAAGTGCGATGCTTTGGGACCGTGCATTGTTACAGTAAGGCCCAAATTCTGACCTATAACAACCTGTTCTTATTTTTTCTTCTAAGTTAAAGAAACAACCCAATTAATTATCAACTATAGAAAAAGAAAAGAAGCCTAGCTCTCGTTGTTCATGCCTAGAGAATTTTGATGTATATTTAGGATCTTCTACCCCATCAGAAATCGGTGTACTCCGATCATAATCCTTTGACCTTCTATAAATTCTATGAAATCGAAGAACGCCCAGATACTCGTTTGGCTTTGAGAATTCAAACCCTTCTCTATATAACCAATTCCATATAAAAGGAAAACATATCCATTGCTGATGCCCTCTCAGGCCTTGAAATTTTATTACTATACCTTTATTTTTAACAGTATGAGTCGGTACTTTTATGACCATCTATGTTGTGGAGAAAGCTGGAGATGATGTAGGACTGCTGTCTATGTTACAGACCTCTGCTACTATGACAGATTCTACCCCACCACAGAAGATACAAGGTCAATGCGACCGTCAGTCACGAGGGGGAGGTGTTACGCCCCCCTACTTCACTCATGATATACAAAATAAAAGCCTGGTTAACATAAGTTCTGAAATAATATATCGCGAACCACTTATTTACTAGCTAGATAAAGCAGGTTCGACTATATATTAATATCGGGTACAGTATAATCATCAAAAGTACTCTTTGTATTATATTTGTATTATATTATATCTTCCCCATGATTATTATAAGCTAAATATTTATTATATTAGGTTAGGTATTACGAATGTGTAACCACTACTGTAGTGACCAATTGGTGGTTCTAGAAATGGACGCCACGCGTCGCCTTCTGGCCGAGCTGAAAGTCTGACTATGAAGTAATTTAGTGAGACAAGTCAGCTCCTACTCTGACTCGTACGGGGTCTTCAACCCAAAGCTCCTAGCTTAAACTAAAACCTTATACCAAGTCTTGCATTTGCCATAAGTCTGGTAATTCCATGTCACTTATGAAAGATAACTATTTCGTTACCCTAGACCTTTCTAAAAGAGTAGATTATTAATTGAAATTATTGTATCATACCCTGTTATTGAGAATTTGAACGTAAGATTGGGTTTCTTGCTGTATAGTGTTTCATTTATAATTGCTTGTGGTTATTTTAATTCACTAACCAAATACCAATGAAGCTAAATGATTGGTAATAAAATAAAACTAACCAAAAAAAATGGAGTTATTTGTGCCCCTATTGTTACGGTGAAGATTAAGTCGTAACAGAAGGCTACAGTGTCACTGTGTACAATATTGTACCGTGATTGTGAAGGCTACAGTGTCACTGTATACAATGTTGTACTGTGAATGTGAAGGCTACAGTGTCACTGTATACAATGTTGTACCGTGATTGTGAAGGCTACAGTGTCACTGTATACAATGTTGTACCGTGATTGTGAAGGCTACAGTGTCACTATACAATGTTGTACCGTGATTGTGAAGGCTAC